ATTCCCCCATCCTGAAGCAATAAAAATGGATCCAGAGACTGCAGTAGATGACTTCACCCCATTATTGCATAAGATTTGGAAAGATGCGAAGGTTTCTATGGATTGGAAGAAAGGTTGGCTACCTCATCAAGCTGTCAAAGAAGGGCGATTTAGGCCTTTGCAAGAACTAGTGTGGAATAATTCTCTTGTCCACGCCAAGGGAAATGCTAAGTCGCATCATCCTGGAGAGAATAAAGGGTTCACTGGATATCGAACTCCACTAACTAGGAACAAGCTGGATTTAGGAAAGGCAAATCATGTGCTGATCAAATCGCAACTCTACGCATCGTCGTCGAACAGACAGCGTATAGAATGGCAGTCAAACCCCTACCTCAACCTACTTCATCGACTCCAAAAGGCGTTCGACAGACAGCGTTGATCCCGAAGCAATTTCGGTCGGTCGGTCGGTCGGTTTTCGACATAGAACTTTGCACATATGTGCGCCAGTTCAAGTCGCCACAATCTATGTAGCACGCAAAGCAAGAGAAGGAAGTAGAAGAAATGCATAATGGAAACAGTAAACAGAGGTGTGAGACAAAGGAATAGTAATAACGGAGAACAAAACAGTTTGATTGGAAATCATAAGTCACAAGGAGTGGATGCATCTGCGCCACTGAGAACGATTTTGAGCCATGTCACCAATTGTTTTCAACCATTGGTTTTTACCGTCCCGGGGACCCCAACCAGGAAGTCTACATATTCCTACGTGGCTTAGATTAACTGTTGTAGATTTCATTGATTGGTGCCATGTTTTCGTTTGACCGCCGCTAGCTCTTTTCCAGCCTGGCCCTATATCAGCTAACATTGCCCGTCGAGGAAGGCGATGACTAGGCATACGTAGCACATGTCCTAACCATCTCAGTCGAAGTAATTTCACCGTTTCGTCGATTGATTTCCCCGCCTTACCTAGCACTCGACGCCTAACCTCAATATTGCTCACCTTATTATACCACTTCGCGCGGGAGATAGAACGCAGACACCTATGATCGAAGACAGCTAATCTTTTCATGTCTTCTGCTCTCAATGGCCATGTCTCACAGCCATAAAGGAGGACGGAGCGGACTGTTGAGCAGTACACACGCCCTTTGGTCGATAGTCGGATATCACGTCTACGCCAGAGACGGCGTAAATTGGCGTATGCGAACCTAGTCCTCTGTATTCGTGTTGAGATTTCGTCTGAGATCAACCCGTTGGGGCTGATGGTACTTCCCAAGTAATTGAAGCGGTCAACGTGTTCTACCACTTCACTTCCTATTTCTAATCTAGGGGTCGGTGAAGTCCAATCCTGCAGCATCATCTTACATTTTACAGGGGCGAATCGCATGCCAAACATACGGAGATTGTTGCTCAGGGTGTTCAGTAGACTCTGCATTTTGTCAGAGTCCTCGCCTAGAAGGACTATATCGTCCGCATATTCTAAGTCGACGAGATTATTCCCTGATAGAAAGTCAATTCCTGAGTCGCTGAAGTGTGATAGGGTTAAATCCATTAGTACGTCTATGATGAAATTGAATAGGAATGGGGATAATGGGCATCCTTGACGGACGCCACTAGTCGTCACCACTTCAGATGACAACTCGCCATAAGCCCTCACCTGGCTGCATGAGTACGAGTAGAGTGCCTTAATCAGTGTAATGTATTTTCTTGGCATTCCCTTTACAGCCAAGCATCGCCAGAGAACCTCCCGGTCGACAGAATCGAAAGCCGCCTTTAGGTCAAGAAATTTGGAAACTCCCTAAACACTATAGCGTGTAGTGCCCAAGTATTTATCAACCTCATTCAACAGCTGGCTAGATGACAATGTCACGTGTTAGGTGATCCACAACGGAAAACTCAGAGAGGCGTTCGAAGTGCATACAGGACAGGAATAGGACGAGGCTGTCTATTATCACCAATGATATTCTAAATTGTGGTGGACTGGGTTATGCGTCGGACTTTGGGTAGCGAGGAGACAGGAATACGCCGGACCACAGATAAGACTCTAGAAGATCTAAATTTCGCAGGTGATTTGTGTTTAATGTTACACAAACTCGAAGACTTGCAGGCGAAAACTAACGAACTGGTAGAAGAGGCAGCAAAGACAAGAATTCAAGTGAACACAGAAAAAATGGAGGTAACGAAGATAACCTACCAACAACAGCAACAACAACAACCAGCACCAATCAACATCAACGGAAGAAATTAGAAGGAGGTCACTCCCTTCACTCATCTTGCTAGGCACCATCATTCTCACTACAGGCGGCAACGATGGGGACGTCAAAATTAGAATCGGAAAGCAAACGCAGACATTCATCACTCTCAAATCAGTTCAGAAATCTCTGACATTCAGCATAAACAATAAAATTTGGATTTCCAACGCCAATGTTGAGTCAGTAACTTCTATATGCATCTGAAACTTGGTGCGTCACGTAAAGCATTTCCAACAAGCTACTGCAGACTTTTATCATCCGCTGACTTTGATGACACCATAATGAGGGTCAAATAACCAGCAAGAATTCGTAACAAGAAACTCTGGGAACACACCAACCAAGAACATACTGCTCAACAAAATATCCCGAAGAAAGTGGAGATGGATCGGACACACGTTGAGGCGACCGTCGAATGACGTCGCACATTTCAGTCAAAATCGAATGATAAACGAAGAGTGGGGTGTCCGAGCTATATTGACTCCTTGTGTAAAGATAGATAGTGAGGTGGTAGAGCGTGTTAACCAATTCACTTGTTTGGGGAGTTGCATCAACCAACGCCAGCGAGTTGATAGCTGACGAAATCTCTGCATGGATATAGAAGGCTCGTGTGGCATTTGCCTACCCAATTACACCATCTCTGACTTAGTAAACGTGATATCCAGCTGGCTGTCAACCGATGAGCGTGTATACAGCTCATGAATTCGCTCCGTCCTACTTTACGGCTGGCTGTGAGCAAGACATGGCCACTGAAAGTGGAAGACATGAAAAGGTCGGCTAGCTGTCTTTCATCATAGACATCTGCGTCCTATGTCCCGTGTTAGGTGTAATAGGGTGAATAATATTGAGGTTAGGCATTGGTCGAGTGAGTGCTAGGTGAGGAGAGAAAATCAATCGATGAGGTTGTGAAGTTACATCGACTGAAATTGTTGGGAATTATGTTACGCATGACTGCCTAGACATCCATCGCCTGCCTCGACAATGGGCAATGTTAGCTGACTGACACAGGATGGATCAAGTTGGAAAGAGCTAGTGGTGGTCAAGCCAAAATATGGCTTCACAAGTCAACGAAATCCACAACATTTAGTTTAAGCCACGTAGGGAGATGTAGGTAACTTCATGGTAAAAACAAGTGGCTGGGGACAATCGGTGATATGGCTCAAAATCGTTCTGTGGCGCTGGTGCAGATGCACTCACTCTTTATGACTTGTCATGTCCAATAAAACTCTACTTTTCTTCCGTTGTAGCGAAGACATTCTCCGGTCCAGGTTCCTTTTCTGTAGATGGATTTTTCGACCGTACTATCATTTCTTCTTCCAGTATTAGGTCCAGGAAATTCAGCTCATCGTGGTGTTCATATTCCATACTGAATTGAATGTTTGGGTGGATCATACTAAGACGGTCAAATAATACAGATGCCTCATTCATTTCGTTACAAACAACAAATGTATCATCGACATATCGACTTCTGTCCTAAAGCTATAAGGCTGGATTACTAGGGACACTGTACGACAGAGTCAGGAAGTTATGTTCGCCAAACAAGGTGGAAGAAGAATCAAGTCATGTTAAAAATGCCTAAGGGGAATTGGGTAACAAACAGGATTTATCCAATAGTACAGCAAAGAAAACGACGAGAAAACCAAGCATCCAACTGTTGGAAAGAAAGTGATCATCTGTCTCCCATTCAGAGGAAAAGCGGTATCACAAAACATTGACAAGAGAATGAAAGGAGCAATAAAAACTGCTTCCCTGTGCCTAAGCTCGTAACGCCACACAGTACAGCACCACGTGCTCCATAAGCAAGTCTAGACTGGATAAAAACCCTACTGATGTCACCTCCAACTGCGTCTATAAATTTACGTGCATTTGCGAGACCAAGGACACTGCAAGGACGAAAGAATGGCTTCCATCCGGCTTTCAGAGCATAACTTAAGAAACTTATGAATTAAAGGACGCAGATATTCGCAAAGTGCAACTAACAGACACCTTGTGGACACGGGCCATTTCGTCAACATTTCTAAATCCTTCAAAATATTAAACGTACAAGGGACGGAAAATTCAATACTATTCGATGAAACAATTGCAATCAAGCGTTTCAAACCAAACTTATACATACAGAAAGAGGGTGTGATCAATCTCTCACTACCTTCGTAACTGCATTTTGATTACATTGATTAGTCATCCATATTAGTGATTTCAACTCACTGAGCAAGTTTTCAATTTTATGGACAATAACCTTCTTGAGTTGCTGTGCAAACCTACATGCTAAAACTGTTTATTAGATTTTTCTGTTTTCTACCTTCTCCTCCACCCCCACCCCACCTGCTTTTCTATTTTTAAAGCATATTAACTGACGGTAACTTAAACGAAAAATTGCGGTGCTTAAATTTCAGATGCGTTGATTTTATGATGATTTCTTTACCACTATTCAAACATTGAAATATGTTATTGTCATTATCAATAGGCACTTTAATTTCAGGTAGTCTGCAGATGATGAGAACCTATGAAATAGAATGATATCATTTTTAGCCGCAAATCCGCACTTTCTCTCATTATTGAGACACACTTCTCACTCGTCTGCGGCTTTTTAAAAGAAGCCACCTACAAATCTCGAGTCACATGGCAACAGGATATTCTATTTTAAAAATAAATTTTATTCCAATGGTGCTTAGAAATTGAGAAATGAAAGCTTACCTCCTTTCCGTAGTACGTCAGAAGCTCCTGAAATTTCGGAATATCCTAAATGTTAGTTGACTCAACGGAACATTTGCTTACTTTGCATGCTCTGTAGTATATCTTCCCCCTATATTGAACTGTCACGAGGTTTTGTTCCTCATCGAATCTGGAGCAATTAACAAACTATAGTAAACAAAAACAACGGGAGAAAGTGTTGCAGTAAAAGCTTCTTGTATTTTGTATAATGGGCTGAAGTTTTCTCACAGCAGAGCATAAATAATTACTAACTTTTAATAACACATTCTGCTTATTTTAGCCTCGATGCAACACTATCTTCATGTGTTTAAGAAGCCAGCGTTTCTGACAGTACGCTTAGGTAGTTTATGTATACTTTTCCCTACTATTATAACTGTCATTAATGCAAGTTGTGGTAGATTATAGTCTCCTGCGCAACAGACTCAGTTAGCATTCCTGTCAGGAGATTCCACTTACTTATCTATGCTTAATACTCAACATCATATAACATAATGGTGTAGACCTTAAAATTGAATCATGAAATAAGCAAGTATTAGAAAGTGCATACATTGTAGTCAGAATATATTAACCCTAACACTGGAGGGATTCTGACACCTTAATCTTAGTTAAAGGAGAATTAACAATTAAAGAGTTAACTGCCACCTCCCCACACCACCATGGATTATATGCATACATTTATTACTATGAAATTTACACATGCAGTTGGACTTCATTGCAATTTGTGAAGCAATGAGGTACCAATAAGAATGAAACGAAAAAACAAATCAAGTGTGTATGTAAAGTAAAATTACTTTCTTATCAATACATATTATTGCCCAGAAACACAGATAAACACTTAAAAGGAGATTCTATGTCATATTGAATACTGTGTGAGATAATGTTCTTTTCCCGATACACTAACACCTGCATCTACACCTGACCTACATTCAACTCATCACAACAAGCAGTTCAAAAGAAATCCTACGTTTGGGAAATATGCACAGAATAGTGTGGTGATGTAGCATTCACAACACTGTCGCTACATCTTCACACGAATAAGGTCAAGAGTTAAGACAAGGGTGACAATTTCGTAACATTTTCACTGAAACACGAACTTATATTTCAAGAAGACTAACATCACTGTTGGAACCATGTGTTTCCAAACCGGCAAGTAAAAATTATATATATAAATATATATAAACAACTAATACAAAAAGGTACCACGGAACTAATGATGCTGCAACATTTCGCCCAGTATGAGTGCCTCAACGTGGTGAAGTTTGATGGGCTGGTCATCTAATTAACACATAGGGAACCAATACTTGTACAACTTGTACTTAAATTATCACTGAAAAACCATCGACCTACTCAGTCATTACACATACGTATTTAAGCCAGGAACCATGTTACCGAAACAAAACTAACTGGCAAGTCGTACATACAAACTCTCTCTTTCTCTCTCAGAATAGCTAACGGTGTTTGACGTAATTGGCAGTGGTGTCATAGTAACTCCATCACAAGGTAAACCACTCGATTTGTGAGAAAGGACAATATTCTATTTTATGCTGGGTCCCATCACTGCGAGCATAGAGCTAAAAATGAAAAGGTATTTTCACTTTATTGTAGTCACTATGTTAATCTATCATTTCTCACGAGTATTGTGATTTACTGTGTGATCAATTCATCATCCTTTGTCTCGCCTTAAGCTTTGTCGGACCGTCAACTGATCAGGATTGACATTTCCAGCCAATAAGAATAATTCATTCTCGCGGCGATGTAAAGCATATGATGTTTTGTTTCCTAATAAATGTAGAATACAATATCTTAGAGTCACAGGTCAGCCTTTGTCTTCTGATATTTGCATGACTCAGTGAATCGGAAGGTACAACGGACGAATAGGCGTATTAGCGTACCAGTCGAGTTCATTACCGTTATAAAAATATTAACAAGCGCAGATATAACAATTTGGCGACGGGTTTATTCAGTCCAGTGCAGCTATAAAACACAGTATTTCATTAAGCATGGCAACCAAGAAGCTTCAGAATCATCCTAGAGAACAATGGGACGACGACTACTAAAAAGTCATACCTTCTATTCTATCAAAAGAATAATTAAGGCTTGTGAAGTAAAATCTAACAAATCATTGTCCAATAAGGAATACACGAAATCACACACAAGATTTACAAACAGCTGACAAAAATTTCAGACACAACCTCTAACCAAATCAACTGCATGTAAATACTCTGATTAGTCTAAAGAAAAGCTCAACATAATTCGACAGTAGATACGAGCATTAAATTAGTTCTGTGACAAGAATATAAAGTCTAACCAAAACCAATTTAAAAACTTACTCTTAACCAGTTAGAATTCAAACAATTTCGAGCATCAATCCAGTGCTGCCTGACGCCATCTACATTCGCCCTTACAAGCCAGGCATACCCACCGCGTGATCTCTGAAATTGATGAAGTAATTGGATTCTTATGCAGTGCTTGAAACGAAACATTCATAGTTAAGTAAGGTTATAAAATCACTTTGTGTGTACGCGAAAATGTCACAGAGATTTGAGTAGTACAAATTCAGAGACTTACTTTGAGTTGCTCGGAGCTACTCATTTCATCCACGTAAACAACTTGTCCACCAAATGGACCGAAGACCGTATCACACTCTATCTTTGCATTGGCGTAAGCGCCAAGACCTGCACCAGGAATTCGGGATCTTAAGATTTTGATCCATTGTCCAGGCGCAGTTTTCGCTGCGTGCTCATAATATAACTGTCCCCATACACATTTGGTTTTCTGATGAAAAACAAATTTATCCTCTGCTTGTTTGCACACAACCAAAGGTAAATTCCCAATCCATCGGACAGGATGCTTAAAACAACCATCCATCACTGAGCGTTTGCATGTGTAGCAATCTGAATAATACAAAGGGTTGAAGTAAAAATCAGAACGATTCCTATAGAAGGTTTTTAATTGGTTACTAAATTCTACAACAAATTGTATTCTCATGATGACACCGACTTTTAAGAGTAAAGACTTAGTGTTAATAACTATTTGAAGAAACAACAATGACACTAAGTCACTTTTTGAAATCACCACAGACAACACTTATGTCTATTACGCGACATAATTTCATACAGGCCTCTATGAGAAATAAATTCTGCATTTCAGTGTTTCCATACCAATGGAATGCTTCAAGTACAACTGCTCTCTGTTTACATTTAACTTTAGTCGACTGAAACATAGTTAATCAAATACCATCTTTTCCTTATTTCTACCTTCTCATAAACGTTTCGAGGACTGTGGTACACCTCAAGCATGGATTTAGTTCATACTTATTTACGAGTTACTCAGATGCAGGATAAACTACGCATTCACTTTTAATTTCTACTGATTAAACATGCCATAAAATGTAGTTGAAACGTCCACTATGGAGCCATCAGCTCGATACATCTGACTGAAAGACTTAGAAGATAACAGTGATAATCACAATCTCAAAGTACTTCAAAACTAACAGTCTTTTATTAAAATAAGAGTTGTTTAAACATCTGCTAACCACCTAAGTGTGCAAACACAAAAAAATAAATCCTGATGTATAACAAGTAAACCTACTTTAAACTATACGAAACTTACACAGGTACCTATCATCTTCGGGGATTTTTATATCTGCAGCGTAGTTTGGCCGTTCTTCGTTTCTCTTCGGATAACGACTGCCTATAAATCGGTTACCTTTATTATTTTCACTTATCACCTTCAGAATCGGTAAGCCCCATCAATTTAGGAGTTCCGGAGTGGGCTTCTGTTTCACCTGAGATTTCCCCAGTTGTCCCGCTACATCCACTTCGTAACTCAGGTGCCCACTCATCACCACTGCTTAGGCAGTCACTACCACTATCTGAAGATAGTTCGGACCTTCTTCTTTTTGGCTATTTAAATAATGAAAAATCATTTTAAAATCTGCATACCTTTGAACTGTGTGGTGGGACTACAGGCTCTGTTGGTTTTCGCTTCAACCTTCTTTCCGTTGACTTTGTACGTGTGCATGAGGCAGACACCTTCGGCTAATTCATCAGAAAATTCAAAGAATTATATCACATTTGTCAAAGCAAAGCAAAAACTAAGGGCAAAATGTTACAAGAACAGTTGAAATGAATTCTGCACTTAGAATGCATTTTCATATCACATTATTAATTAATTTCCTAAAAGCACTTTCCTCCACAAGGAAGGAGGTAGGAGGCAATTCCGTCAACATGATGTGCAGCCCATTCACTTTCAGGTAGCTGTTAACATTACTTAGTATCATTCACAGGTAACCATGAATTTAAAATACTAACGTTGTAATTTACGAGATAATGAATTTTATTTACTCTCTCCTCTTTGCGTGGTTCTCTTACTTCCGTCCTTAGTGCAGGACAAGTATTAAGCGGACAATGATTATATTATTGAGGCTATGAATAAACTGGCTTTCAACTGAAATGCATCAGTTCAACCTGCCAAAAACCACCTAGAATATGAAGGATCAGCAAAAAAAGAACTATAATGTACAGAAATATACGAAAGAATAGTAACATGGAAAAACGTGAGATTTAATGGGAATGAAAGGTCTCAAAGAGTGAATGCATCTCCAGCATTGAAAACGGTTTTGAGCCATGTCACCAACTGTCTCAAGTCATTGGTTCTTAGCACTTCAACAACATCAACAAGGCAATCCATGCCTTCCTATATGGGTCATTTTATGTGCATCTAGGTAATTCACTACCTTCCACAGTAAGCGAAAAAAATACCTCCAAGAGCACCAACTGACTGAGTTTAGAAATACAAACAAGTAATCCATAACTCAATTTACGGGAACATGTTTTATTTACTGGGTTATCAGCCACACTAATTGTGCGTATGTCTGAGTGATATTATCCAGTAGTAGCCTAAGCTGAACTAAATAGGGCGTGACTCCTGTTGCCCATCAAAAGACGTATGTACTACAGAAAAGTTAACTGCTTGTCAATATACGAAGACTTGAAGAGGCTGGCCATCTTCAGCCATGCGTGTCATAGATAGTAAAACAATGCGAGCAATGACGAGGTTAGCCACACAATATTAGGCATTAAAACTAATATAATAACAATAAGGAGGGTAAGTGAATCAATGAGGCTATAAAGCTGCATCGATTGAAGTGGTCTGGACATGTGTTACGTATGCTGGGCTATCGTCTTCCTCATTGAGCAACGTTAGCTAGAGAGGGTGGGCTGGGAAAGAGTTGAGAGCACTGGCACCAACTAGTGGATCTTATCTTCAAATGGTACCACAGACAGAGGGGGTCTAGTTACAATGTTTAGAACGTTGAGAAATGACTATGGGCCTGATTTCTCTTCTCTTTGCCCTCCCACCTAGTGAAGATATCTAAGAGGATATAGCAGAGACGTTCAACAACCAGGAACGAAATATATTGCTGTAGAATATTGCTTCTCCCACCGAGACACTAACACTCACAACTGACTACATCTGTGGACACCTTTAAGCGAAGGCTGGACAATCATGCAGCGACACACGAACTGCGTTCAAATGGCCTATCCCCCTAAAATCCCATACACCATTCGCGGTAGACAATTAAGTTCGTCGTTTTGCTTCTTTACATTCTCCCGTATTAATCTCCTGACAACTGTAACTACACTTACTATTGCTATTACTGATATATATATATATATACATATTTATCAACTTCAAATTTAATCAGCTGTCTGTTCCTACGTTTTCTTTATTTCTTTTTCTGTCTCTTTGTCTGAATAATCTACACTAATTACATCTGTTATTATTTTTATTATCCGTTTTCTTTTGTCGACGACACCGGAGGACTAACTGGTCAAAGGATCAACTCTATTCACAGTAGTAACAGTCTTAACACACCTCATACAACAAACCACATATAATTAATCCTGTTGGAGTCAACCAAAGGTACGACAGTCGATTGACCGGATGAGCTACGCAGAAGTTTACCGAAGATCAGGAACCTATACCTCACAATCAAGAGGCGAGCACAAAGAAATCAAATTGGTTTATACCAGCTAGTAAAGCGATACTGGATATATTGGACTCCCAAAAGAAGTAATGGCTGTCTCATCAACTGACTCAGTGAGTAGACGAGTGGAAAACACAGATACATTGTGGGAAAGCGTTAACACAGGCCTGCATATCCGTACACTTTATTACAACCCTTCATCCAAACAGATAGCTTGCGGCTTTTGTGCCTTTAAGAATTGTAGAAAGAGTGCTCAAGCGAAATCCAAGACAAGCGTTTCGTAAGTCACTCAGAATAACACCATAATACGCGTATAAAACATCGTTAGAGAATAATCGATGACATAACATTATCAAAGTGTGTGTGAGTCATTATATACAGAGTATGACACGACTAACTAGCCTAAGCTAGCTGCTTAGCTGTCAAAACCACTGGGCATACTTTGACAAGATCAGACACAAGATGCAAGGGAAGCGTATGCGCATTCACAATTCTACTACACGCTAGACAAATCTGTGTGATTAAAAACGGAACACTCATCACCGATTCGATCGTATTATGAGATCGATCAAAACTATCATGTTTCTCTTACCTTACCTTCTTGATACCGTACGTTTCTTTGACCTTCTCAGCATCTGCAGGTGATATTTCTATAGGCAAGATAAAAACAGTTGAAATCAACACAAACTAGTGAATTTTACCCGCAGTTCTAGATTCTCCAAAATGCGCTGTCTACGTAAATCCCCCATTCCAACGTTTGGTTTAAATGCACGAAACTGATCCAATATCCAATATCCAATATCTTTTTACGAGCTAGTATAAACCAATTTGATTTCTTTGCGCTCGCCTCTTGATTGTAAGGTAGAGGTTCCTGATCTTTGGTAAACGTCTGTGTAGCTCGTCCCGCCACTCGACTGTCGTAGCTTTGGTTGACTCCAACAGGAGTAGTGCTGGGATTAATTATATGGCGTCTGTAGTATGAAGTGTGTTAAGACTGTTACTACTGTGAATGGAGTTGATCCTTTCACCAGTTAGTCTTTCGGTATCGTCGTCAATGGAAAAGAGATAATAATAATAATAATAATAATAGATATAATTAGTAAAGGTATTCAGACTAACAGACAGAGAAAAAAAAAAAAAAAAAAAAAAATAAGAAAACGTAACAACAGTCAGTCAACCGGTATACATATATATATATATATATATAATATATACCAGTAATAATGATAATAATAATAATAACAATAATAATAATAAGTGTAGTTAAAGCTGTCAGGAGAGTAAGACTGAAGGGAATGTGAAGAAGTAAAACGACCAGTTTAATTGTCTATCTTTGAATGGTATATGCGATTTTAAGGGGATAGGCCATTTGGATACAGTCCTTGTGTCACTGCAAGGTTGTCCAGCCTTCGCTTAAAGGCGTCCACAGATGGTGCCATAGCTACATCTGCCGGTAAGGAATTCCAGGGACGGCAAACCCGCAGGGAAAAGAAGTGGGAGCGCACCCGGGTCCTTGCCCTCTGATGAGCTATCCTTCTGGGATTTCCACGAGGGAGCCTATACCTACTCAATGGCAGAACACCTTTGTTCGGGTGATTCTGATCATTTGTTATTTTGTAGGCAGTAATTAAATCCCCCCTCAGGCGACGGTAACTGAGTGTGAATAGGCCTAATTTCTTCAGCCTTTCGTCATATGGTTTATTTCGGAGTCCAACCACTCCTTTTGTTGCCCGTCGTTGGGCTCTTTCCAAGAGGTTGGCGTCTCTTTTAAGCAGTGGGGGTGCAATGATATTATGCACTTCAAGATGCGGTCTGACGTATGTTTTATACAACCTTAGAAAGAGCTCAGGAGTGAGTGCACCTAATTGTCTATGTGTAAAGTGTATGACCGCATATGCCCTCGCTACATCCCCCGTGTAATTCACGCTTGTGTCCATTTTCTCCGTTAGAACTAGACCTAAGTCACGTTCCGACGTTGAGCAGGACAAGCTTTCATTGCACAGGGTGTAACTTGCATTCTGCAGTCTACAGGTGCGTAACTTCACTACTTTGCACTTTTTCAGGTTGAAAGTCATTCCACTGGTTACCGCCCAGTCTTCCAGAAGCCTTAGATCTGCCTGCAGCCTATCTGAGTCCTCCGGACACTTTACCGCCCTCCATATCTTTACGTCATCAGCGTATAGAAGAGTCGGGCAGTTTAGACGGCATGGTAAATCATTGATAAAAATCAAGAACATCAGTGGTCCCAGGATAGAACCCTGCGACACTCCTGATGACGAGCTGTGCCAAGATGATCGGACTCGGTTGACCTTGGTGCAAAATTGCCTTTCAGTTAGGTAGTCCTTCAACCATGACAGAAGTGGTTTACCTAGACCTACCTGGCTTATTTTGTGTAGGAGAAGGTCATGGTGAACAGTGTCAAATGCCTTCTCAAAGTCTAGAAAGATCACATGGACAGGAACATTCATATCCCAGCATGATGTCCAATCGTCCCAAGCTGATAATAAGTTAGTGACGCAGGATCTTCCTTTCCTGAAACCGTGTTGGGCTTCATGGATCAACTCTATTCACAGTAGTAACAGTCTTAACACACCTCATACAACAAACCACATATAATTAATCCTGTTGGAGTCAACCAAAGGTACGACAGTCGATTGACCGGATGAGCTACGCAGAAGTTTACCGAAGATCAGGAACCTATACCTCACAATCAAGAGGCGAGCACAAAGAAATCAAATTGGTTTATACCAGCTAGTAAAG